TACGCGCGCTCTGATTGGTCGAGGTTTTCGTTTAATATCTCCTTAACGAAGCCCCATCCGACATTTTTGCAAAGGAAATTGTTGTTCAAAATCGTCACAGCTACCCCCCATTTCCGGCTCCTCCCCGACTTTTGGGACACCCTGTATAGTTCTTCTCCAAGGAGCATGTGTTACGTTCCACTCGATTTCTACGAGTTTGGTACAAGCTATCGAGATAATTGTTTTTACCAGAACCGTTATGAAACTTTTTCAATAGGTACCTTTGAAACAGTTGAAACGGAACTTTTATAAGAAAAGTTCTCGCATTAAGAAGTTCCGATGAAAACGGATAAATAAAAGGTCTTGAAAATTAAAGTCCTCCAAAATAAAAGGTCTATTTTGAATAAACTTTATGTGAAATAAAAATAGAAATTCTTGTGCAACGGGAACAGATACGCTCAGCATCGCAAGAAGAAAGTTCTCAGGCACTTCTATGTACAATGTAGGTACACTTTGAAACTTTTGATTGGTCTTGAAAGTCTTGTTTCCTTATTATATTCTGTATGTATTAGATTTAGATTGTCAAGTAAAGGTATGTTGTAATACAGGCATGTGGTTAAATTTCTTCTTAAAACATTTTCTAATAAAAGTTTCGTGATAACTGTTTCCAAGGAACATTAATATCTATTATATAATGTCTAATATATTCCAAATTAAATAATAATATTCGAGACAATTTTAGGACGTAGGGAATTTTTGAACGAATTTTGTCAATGTTATGGACGTTCGATAAAAAAATTTCATGAAAAATTGTTTATAGCTTAAACAGTACAACAAAACATACAATCCCTACATTTTTCTGTAGACGATGTCATTTTAAAGCTACAGTTGAAATTTCAAGTAAATCGATCAAAGTCTGTTGAAGTTATGCCTTTGGCCATTTTGGAAAACATGTTTACAAGAAAAACGCGTTTAAAGTTTTACATAAGAGTTTATGATAGAAATGTTTGATTTATCTCTAGTTTGCAACGCATTCACTACACAGCCGACCTTTCCCATTAACATACTCAGAACTTTTTTTGCAATATCAGTCAGCGATCGCTCCGAAAACCAGACGCGGCTCGCGTCAGCGTTAGCGCAACAATTGCAGCAATTTGACCCCTTCGCTATGCCAAATGCTTCCAGAATCTGCAGTATGCTTGACAACCCATCATTGGTCACATATATAACGATATTTGCGGCAATATCAAGTGAACGTTTGCCACTGGAAATTAATTTGGAGATCGACGACAAGACTGCAGTATTGAAACTTTCATTGCTATTTGTACGAGACGGTTCCTCGATTTTATGAAAATATCTGTCACTTTCCTGGTACACCATTCGATAAGCAGCACAAATCCACGTATCGACGAAAAATCATGTTTCCCCCATATTCCATCACACAGTGCAATTGAAGTTTTCAACAGACTTACAATTAGACTTTACTTTTCGCGCTACTGTCTCTCTGCTTTTTTAACCGACTTCGAAAAGGAGTAGTTTATTCAATTCGACATGTATATTTTTTTTTATTTTTTTTTTTTAAGGTATGTTCGCCGATTACACCGAGATGGTTTGACCAATCGGAATTAAACCTGTTGCATCTTGTAGAGCATATCTCTCCGGTAGTTCTGTTATCAAGACTTTTTGCGATTTGTCATTTTTTTTACAAACAACTTCTGTTGCGTCAGAAATCATGCGAAGAGTTTCATCGTAAAATGAGTGATAAATTGGTTATGGAAGGTTCATGAAGGCACAAAGTTTTACCATTTCATTTACATCGATTCCTAATAAACGCATCACAAAAATATTTCGACAATTAATTATATGACCTTTGTCAATAAACAGGCAATTAAAAATGTAAGTTTGACAAATTTGCAAATGACAAATTTGCACGTTTTACACACAACTTCCTAAATGGCAGGAAAAACTCACTATTTTCCATTCATTCGATGACTGAGGCATTGCAGATACGTTAGGCACGTTATGGCGTGACTACTTTATTTATGTAATAAACACTTAAACATTTTTCCACGTTATAAAACCTATCGTACCTGATTTTAAAGATATCATTTAAAAAAGAAAAAAAATTGATTTTTTCAAAATTCTACGGTGACCTTAGCCCTCAAAGTGAAAGTAACACATAAGCAGGGATAATTTGAATAAAAAAGTATCGGTTTCAACGAAATGTAAAAACAAAATACAAGTTAATTGTTCCTTTCACTAGTTTCCACTGTAAATGCAAAGTGGCTACCTTTCCTCTTGGGTTCAGTTGTTCTTATTGCAACTCATTTTCCTTCATTTTTTACTACGCTGGTCAGACAAGATGCTCGCGAGTTCGTTTCGAGAAATAACGAAATTGCCTGCGTTTTTTTGTGATTCAAGTGACTTGGTGCACCAGAGACACTTTGTGTACGTACGCAAAACGGAAGGTACCAGTTTTTTCGTGGGCGACCACCTATAAACTCGCATGGCTGCCTCAAGACGCTCTGGCAGGTTTCACGGTCGGCCTGACTGCCATTCCCCAGGGTATCGCTTACGGTATCGTCGCTGGATTAAGTCCTGAGGTAAGCTCAAGAGTAACAATGGTTACCCAGCAGTATGGATTTATACCTGCGGATCGACAGGAACTGTACCGCGTACTATATTGTATAATAATTGCGCTGCCGTTACAGAAGCTTATACCGTTCCATGCACGCCTGAGAAAAATGATTCGACTAAAGAAACCGCGTTACAAGGTTAAATATTAAGTCTTCGTGATTTATATTTTCAAAGACAAATTTTTCTAATTTCTTTTTAACTGTCAGAGTAGTTTAAGTATGTCTTAAAGTACGTTTGGTAATTTTTTCAATTCATTTCACACAGAATTTGACTCTTCAAATAATTCAGAACTTAACGCAAGGCCAGGTAATCCATGACTTTTTTTCTGGCTATATTACGTTTATTTCAGTCAACAAATTTGTTAGGTTCCCTTTTTGAGCAATTCATTTATCCCATCTTTGAAATTATATCTCTGTACAATATCCATCACAGTACTCTCAATTAAATTACAAATTTTATTAATTTCTCGATCAAATTTTCCTTTTCCACGATAATTGTCGCACATCAAAGGATGAGTTTTTGCGTTTTCTCACCATAGTACAAATTATGAATGACCACGTCGACTTTCAAACAATAACAGATATTTTGTAATAAACAGTCGTAACCGTCTACTAAGGTGAAGAATTGTAAGGAATATGGAAATGTATCGAGTGTCCAAATATCAACACGACACAGGAATAATATATTGCCTAGTAAATTGTTTATTATACGTGAATTCGATATGTGAAATAAATAAAATTTGCACTTTTGTTAAACAGAAGATCCGTTCTCACATATTACACAACAACCAATATTACAATTTAATGCTGATCAGATGTGCATTGCAATAGTGAATAAAGTACTATAGAGTCAAATATTAATATGAGTCTCTGACAATGTAAATACATCGGTGGCACAAAAAGTCGGTCAAAATGGGTTTCCATGAAACGTTGTCTATGAAAACTTTTTTAGTGATTTTAGACTAATTATTAGGTTGTCCCAAAGTTTCTTTCGCTTTATTAATAAGTAATACATGCACAATAGTTTATGTTTTATGTTATATTACTGAATTGTGCACGATTCATTTTGCTCCATTATTGTTACAACATGAATATCTGTGAAATTAGATTGCCTATTTATATAAACACGACCACATAAAATAATTGAGTGCAACTCGCGAAAGAAACTTTCGGGACAACCTAATACTAAATTAGAGTGAATTTAGACGAATTATAGCTATAATTTACTGTGTATTATTTATATTATACATATATTATTTACAGTACGTTCGTTCTTTATACTAAATAAGTATTATATTAAGTAACAAAAACAGTTACAAATTTATAATCTACTAGAGTTTCGTTCACAATATTTCGTTATCGAAAAGCTATTCATCTGCCAGAAATCAAATTGTTAAGACCAGTCATTCTTTTTCAACTCCTATTGTAGTCGCAACGAATGAACTCCCCAAGGGTCTTTCCTAGACATTTACCCTTCGATAACTTTTATGAACCATATTGGTAAAATTTATACAGAGAATGAGTATATACCATTTACAGACAATCTTGAAATATATTTACAAAATAACACAGAAATTGACATCAATGAAATTAATGGTTGATGCAATTATAACAAAGTAAGCTTGGATGTAACGAGATGGTATTAGTACACGAGTTAAAGAACATTTTGTAACCAGTAGTTAATGAGATAACTGATATGTCTGTCATAGATTGTTTTCTTAATCAAGTAATAATTGTTTTCTGAAGGGGCATACTCTTAGATTAATGTCTCCCAAACTGAAGTTTACAGACATGTTAGTGGAAATAATATGTATAGTGGAATAGAACAAATTATTCTCATAATATTTACTTTTGCTAAAAAAAAAAAGACGTCGTTGAGAAAATGTGACAATTTTGAACGAATGGGATTTTTCGTATTTGCTAAACCCGAGGTTAATATTTTTCAGAGTTACGTCTACGTAACATCTACTATTTTATTGCTGATAAGTTTTATCAACATTGTTTCGAACTTATAACGTGCTTATCACGTTTTCCTTTTCTTTTGTTAAAAGCGTGTAATAAAAGATAGCAAATTTTATCAGATTATCCATTTGCAATGAACTAACATTTCCTGACTGCTAAGTAATAATGATTTCTTGATACTTTTAGAGAGCACAAATTAATTGATTGTTAAAAATTAATTAATACGACCTGAGAAGACTCATACGAGTCTTGTCTTGACAGTTTATCTGTTGGAAGCCTACCTGTATATCGGTTATTGGTTTCTTATTTCTAAAATCCATTGGCTGGAATTTTTTATCTCTGTTAACAAGTCTGTGAAATAAAAGCTTGGCAAAAAAAAAGAAAAGCTCCCGATTAAGACTAGATTTTGATCTCAAAAATAAGCCTAAAAAGTTTGAACTAAATCGATCTAGTAGTTTCCGAGATATAGTGGTCACTCGTTTTGAAAATGCAAATCTGAGAAAAACGAGTTTAAAGTTTTAGATATATTTTACAGCTAAATAAAAAGTTAGTTTATTCAACTTAGAGTAAGTCATATATTCCAGATTCATATAATAGTTCTTCTGCAGCAGTTGTAGCTTCCAACATGCCGATTTGCTTCTGTTTACGACGTTGTCTCGCCTCGCGAGTTGCTTGTTGTGTGCAGTAATCCACTTTCTGAATTCGGAGTTCGTCTTCCTTCGCTCTGTATAAATGGACGTTTGGTCAACTGTATGCCCCCACAGCTTGTAACATCATTGATGAGGCAAATGTGCTGTCATTAAAAAGTGCCGGTCGCAATGTAGATCGTTAATTCTACCGTAATATATCCAGATGATATTACTTTTTAACTGATTTTTCACATTAACTGGTAGCAACTTCCATTATTTTTTTGTGTAAGCCTGCAGACGCATTCTCTAATAAATTTTAAGTGCTGAGATCTTCATAGATAGGTTTGGTAGCGTACAAGACAACTTTAGGGAGAGACTTATAACTGTGTTTAAAGGACTCCTGTGTATCACTTGCAGAAGCACGGTGCCAATCACACGAGTCTGATCCAGTCGCGCATTTATTATGATGCAGATGTTCATCTGTTGAATTATAGTGACAATACGTGGCCCAAATTGCAGTTTTTATTTTTTCTATGGATTTATAATTACGTCGAATTTCCAATCCATAATAAATGGATAACTTATTGATTAACATTTGAGCTTCGTCAATTTTTCTCGGATTACCTGGAAATTTTTATAGGATATTTTTGGAATGTTGTACGTTAAGAAAATGTCAAAATCAAAAAATCGTTTTTCTCAAAGTTTCTAGGTAGAAATACTGCCTCAAGTAATAGATCTCCTCGAGATCTCGATTTCTTGATTTCCTTTATTACGGCTAATCAAATTTTACGTTCTAGCCACAGAGATCGGAAACAAATATATTTCTGGAAATGTTTCCTGCGTCAACTTCGATTCACTAATGTCCACGTGTTTTTCGTAGAAACATTATTGATAAATTGGCCGATATTCGACTCGTACTAGCCTATTCGACTTGTAATAGCCTATTTCTAAGGTATATACATTTATTATAAATAGTTAGTTTCGTTATATTTAATAAGAACTACTACTATAGTTTTGTAAATAATTACAGCATAATAGAAACATCTCTATGATTGGAAAAATATTATTACACGTAGTTTTTCTCAATGACATGAACAAAATAACCGCGGTCCGAGTGAATCGCATTTTGTAAAACAAATCACTTGGATCAAATACACGACAAGTAATTATTACCCTTTTATAATAATAAAATTTATTATTACTATCCATAGTAAGTTGAACGTTTTAGCCTCACGCGGAATTTTGTTTTCTTTATCGTCAGTATGGACTGTACGCATCCTTCATGGCGTCGTTCATCTACATTATCCTTGGTTCGTGCGAGAACATTACCATCGGGCCTACAGCTATCATGGCAACAATGGTACAGCCATTGGTGGCAAATTACGGTCCCGATATAGCCGTGTTACTCGCCTTTTTGAAAGGCTGCATCATCGCGGCTCTCGGGGTGCTTCACCTGGGTAAGTGGATCGGATCGATGGAGATTTATTTAGATGATCTATCTTCTGGAGCAATGAAACGAATCCGACGTGAACCGTGGATTTCAGGTTTCTTATTAAATTTCATTTCGCTGCCGGTAATTGTTGGCTTTACGGCGGCCGCATCGATCAACATTGCCGCCTCGCAGTTCAACTCTTTGTTGGGTATTCCCGTCAGAAGCGAAGATCTTGTAGATGCCTTGCAGAAAGTGTTCAGGAATCTCGATAAGATCAGATACCAAGACACGGTGTTGAGCATCGGAACGGTTGTTGTCTTGGTTGCACTCAAGGTATTGTATTATCTCAACGATCGCGCGATTACGATTAAAATATCGATCGAATCGGGCTACGGGGACTACTCGAATGCTACTCGAATCACGTTTCAAAGATACCAAAGTATTCGTAGAGATACCATTGCGAAATGATTAACACTTTGTACTCGACGACATTTTCACCAGCGGTAAAGTAGCAACTCCAAAAGATTTTACGATTATTTGTCGAATTCCACACAGCTGACATAAAATCACTTTCCACGCAAACTAACGTAACGTATTATAATATTAACTTCTATTATTCAATACTAAATATATCATTATGAAATTTTTGCGATATGATTTGGTAGAAATATTTTGAAAACTCTTTGGCTGAAAATAAAAGTATACCGCCCTTAATGTTTCGTGTTCAATGAACCTAACGAATTGATGTGTAATATTGGATGATCGCATAAGTTCGTACCCGATTGTCATAGACGTTGCTATGACAACTCCATTGTTTTTGTTTGGTTTGGTTTACGCACTGAATAGGTTATAATATCACGTGCAAAATTAGATCGTAAAAAAGAATGGCGACTACATAATTGATTAATAAAATCATATTCTTTGAAATTTTACACATTGAACTTCATTTTTAAATCGGGCACGAACTTATGCAATCATCCAATATAAACGATTATTAATTTCGGTAATTTTGTAATTTTGTTAACATGATTTAGTGGAAATATTTTAAAGGCCTTACATAACAAGGATACCAACAACAGCAAAATTTATCGGAACAGAAAAAGAAAGAGAAAGAAAAGTTTTAATATTAACGCATTATCAACTGATCGGGGAGATATACTTTGCGCTATACGAAATTATGCGTTTATAAACATGCGCAATAAGAGTGTTTACACTGATTGTATATGATCTAAACCGAAAAATAGTATTGGCAGGTGTTAGGTAAAAGTTAATTTGCAAAAGATATACATGTTTGCTATCAACGCTTTGGGATTCAATGAAATCTAATGTAAAACAATTTGTCGCCTCTTAATCGCCACTTGAGTTACCGCATAAAAACTAATGGCGATTGAGTGTCCCCTCGAGTGCAAAGAGTTAAACTATCCTCAACTGCTATCTATCGCCGCTGTTCTGCGTTCAGTCAGTGGATTCGCGCGTAATATCGATTCTACCTTAAAGAGGTATTCTCATTTAGAACGTCGTTTCCTAAGCGATATTCTTTAGTGAATTATTATTTTAAAAATTTTTTAGAATTTAAAATTACGAAACAAAACGACAGTGAACGTTACAATTTATTACTTTCATCCCCGATCTCTCCTAATCGCGGTCGTTTACTCGGTTTTCGAAAAGATATATAATTATATTCCTTCAACAACGACTTACGTAAGAAGTACACACCCTGTGTTTTTCGAATGTCGCCGATATCTGTATTGTTTGATCGTAAATATTTACTGATTACGTTAATAAATAATTACAAATAAAAGTTTGAAGTATAGCGATAGTATAACCACTGGCAAAAGGTTTTCGTCCAAACGCAGTAATAAGAAATTGTGTAAAGTTACAATTGTTTAGATACAAAACGCTATAACGCAAACATAAAACGCATGAGGATATTAAATCGGTCTAACATAAAGTATAAACAAACAAAATAATTTTAAGTTTTGTTTATTATTGGAAGAGGAAATATTTAATGTACTGTAAAAAGGTATTTGTTCGTAGCAAGGACAAACAATCGAGAATGCATCCAATTCAAACAAAAATCGACGAATGCCTTAAATTGGAGTTTGTAGTCATTACATTTAACGCAATTCGGCAATCAGTCGAATAAAGATGGAACATTTTGAAAAAGGGAAAAAAGATTTTTATTCGATTGACTGGCATGTTGTGTTATATTTACTAAATGCAACGTCCAATATAAAGCTTCATGTTACAATAAATGTCCACGTATGTAGGTTCATGAATTTGTCTAAACAAATGCTACATTATTATGGATAAAAATTGTATAAGTTGCCATTAAAAAAAATTAATTTATTTTTTAAATCTCCCCCACCACTTCACTTACAACAAAATTATTTACTCCATACAATTTGCCCCTTCGAACCAAATAACTTTCGTGAAAACATTTTTCCGATAGTTTCATCCCCTCATGAGATGTTAAACTACTCCGATTTAAATGAAACACCCTGTATATACTGGATTTCAGTCTTCAGTTGATGTTCCTGCTAGTTTCCTCACTAATTACTTCGAATATGATTCAATATCTGAAAAAAATGACGATAATCCATAAGATATACATACATAGATGAGCACGACCATTATCAGTTTAACAAGTTTCCACCCATTTTTAAAGGAACTTTCTCATCACTTTAGGAAAAAATGATAAAGTTTTTTGCTCCGTGGGTGACTCTGTAATCGGTCTTGCATAAATTTTTCGTTTTCAAGCAAGTCCAAAAGGTTTTTGAGCATCCTCCTTTTAAGCAGAGATACCTTTTAAGCAGAGAGGGATTGGTTATATGTCAGTTAAAGGTGCAAGAAAATTTTGCATTTTTATCTAAAATACAAATTCTGAAATACATTCATCTTTTGGAGCACTTTCTGGTTTCTAGTTTAAAGAAATGGTCCGAGGATTACGAAGATTTTATGTTCCAACATGACAACACAAGTTCCCACCATAGCGAGGCAGTACAAAACTATTTAAATCTTAATCCAATTGAAAATTTATGGACAATATGGAAGGATTTTATTCATAAAAACAACCACAAGGGACAACAAAATCATGAAAAGAAATTCCGTTGCCAGAGTGTGACAAATTAATAAATTCAATGCCCGCACGTGTAACGTATAACATGTAAACGTCACAAAATATTATCTAATGAAAATATTAAAAATAATAATGTTGATTGCAATATGGACAATTACTTTTTCCAAGTACCATTGTGCTCTTTCATTATTTTCTCTTTGATATCAAACAAAGTTGAAATTATTTTTTTCGTTTTTACTTTATATTAGACCGAGCTAACATTCCCATTCGTTTTATGTTTATATTACAGCACTTTGCGTTTAAATAATTACAGTATTTTCGTACGATTTTGTACTATTGCGTTTGGCGGAAAACTTTTTGCCAGGTGTTATAATTCTCAACCGCCCGCGAGTCCACTCTGCCGACTGTTTAACTTAGCCGACATTTTAAATAGTTTCTAGTTTTACGGCTGCCGTTGTTGAAAGAATAAAAAGAACGCGATATACTTCCAAATATCTAATGTTTCTATTAAAATATTCCCAAGAATTTACCTGGACGACGAACTGGCACGTGGCAACAAAAGATTGCGTGGGCGGTGACTCTGGCGCGTAACGCTTTAGTGGTCATCGTAGGGACAACTATAGCGTATATTTTTTACGCGAACGGACAAGAACCTTTCAGGTTAACTGGTGAGATCACTAATCGAACTCTACATCTGCCGCGAAATCAATTTTTTGAAATTTTTGTTGCGGATGTCAATCGTCAATCGTCGAGAACAGAAGCGATAGAAGAGAATTGGTAACGATTTTCAGGAACGATGGGCGAAGGGTTGCCACCGTTTGGCCCACCACCCTTCTCGATTACTCACAAAAATCACACGTATGATTTTGTGGAAACGGTATCGGCGATGGGAACGACGCTTTTCTCCATTCCAGTGGTATCTACCATCGAGCATATGGCGATAGCGAAAGCTTTTGGTACGGTATAGGTTAAAACTGTGTAAGTAATTGGTGGAACAAATGTAGCGATCCGTTCGTATTAATCGAAATGAATGAGTTATAGTAACACTTGTGTTTTGGTTGTAGTCGGTAACGATAAATAGTAATACATGTTAAAAGAAAGATTTAGAACTTTCAGAGCAAATAGTACTGGTCAAATGGAGGAAGAAAATCCTACTAGACATGGATATAAACAATTATTTTCGGTATTATAAATGGTATTATTATCAGTTTCACTATTTACTCGCCTTTGATTGCAAATTTTTTTATATAAAAACGACGGACCTTACTATTCCTTCTGTTGATGTTCTATTAATACTCCAAAAATAGTAGGGGTTTATTAGAATTTTTTCCCTTTATTTCACGAGCACTATCCGCCCTGAAGGGTCTGAAGTAGGGGTGTACGGAATCCCGGTCGGGACGGGAATTCCTCCTGAGATCGGGAGGGAATCCCGAGAATTTCAGAATCCCGAATACATCCGAGATTCCTATGAATTTCCTGGATCCCGAAACCATTCGAGATTCCCGAGAATTTCGAGGTCCCGTAAATTTTCGGGATTCCCGGGAATTTCGAAATACCGTACATTCGGATTGCTGAAATTTTCAAGAATAACAACACTTTCGGAAATCCCAGATATTATTCTGTATCCCGTACATTGTCGGGAATCCCGAACACTTTCGAGATCCTGTATATTCTCGGGAATCCCGGATTTTTGCGGGATCTCGTGTATTCTCGGAAATCTGGAATCAACTCGGGATCCCTCATAAACTCGAGAATCCCGAATATTTTCGGGAATCCCGCACACCCCTAGTCTGAACCCTTTCTTCTTAACATCTTGTGTAAACACTACAATATTCGTTTTCGGTTTGGCGACATGTAAAGTTATACAATAAAATTCAGATAATCCGACACACAAAACTCAGCTATAATCGTGTTTTTTAAACGACATTTAGCAATTATCACGGGTTAGATTCTCCACAAACGCCATTCGTTCACGTGGCATTTACGTAACATTGTCGAGCACACTTTAATTAAATTGGCAATTGATCCTCACTTTTGTATGGCAATTAAATTTAATTTCAATTCATAATTGATTTTAAGTAAAATCAAATGTTTATTTTAGTTAAAATATTTCTTTAACATCTAAAATTGAAGTTAATTTCAAATAATGTTTCAATTAATTGATTAGATGATGAAAGATGTAATTGCTTTATTACCGAACACTGTTACGTGATTATGGATGATGGTGAAATTAGACCACTAAATAGTCGCAGAAAATTAATATAATTTATTATTTATAATTTCTATATTCTATGTTTTATTTTATTGTTGTAAACCGATTGAATTATTATATTAACTGTGATCGTATTTTTAAATTGCCATCTTGGGTTAGTTCAATAATTCGGTATATTTGATAATCCTGCATTACCGAAATCCCGAGTATGCCAAATTATCGGGATTACACTATATATAATAAATGTTAAGGCAGAAAGGACGTGAAAATACATGCATTTAAATATACATACGAAAGCGTACAACATTTCGACTCTACTTTAACTTTGGTATACTATAGTGGGATTTTCCATTCTCTAATAATTTTTGCTTTAGCTATTTAAGAGCTGCTACTTTAATCGTCCAGCATGATCTCAACTTGTTCGAAGCTGTTATGTTATTCACTGGCACGTGTCAAGACTACTTTTCGTTATTTTCATGGCTGATATACATAGTTTCCCGATAGAGTATTACCGAGTTCATGTCTAGGTGTTGTATTCCAGGGTTAATGGAGCTCCTTTAGGTTGTACACGGTTCAAATTTAATAACCAAGGAGGAACCTCAAGAGACCCTCTCTGTTTCTCAAAACGAAACTAGGGCAAAGAGGATTATTCACATTGCCAAACGAACTTGGACAAACTGTTCATCTTTCTTTTTTCTTCTTTTTTCTTTATCTACCTACTTTTTATTTAATCACTTAGCATATCCTCTTTCCACCTACTGTTTACTTAATTAGTAAGTTGCTGGCACCTTACAGTCAAGAATGCCTACCGACTTGGCATGGTGCAGTTTTTGTGAGATCACTAAATTCGTTCCACTAACAAATATTATACATATACAGGGTGTCCCAAAACTCGGGGAGGAGCCGGAAATGGGGGG